TTCATGGATAGCCAAGCAGGCATACAGGGTTTGGTGGCATGGGCATGTTTTAAACTTCTTTTAGGTATGCATAACATTGGAAACGTTTGATTCTATTAAATTCTGTCTATATATAATACTTCAAAAAATTTGAAATTATTGGCAAGCAAGTGTGAGGGAAAAATCACAGGCAAGTGTGCTCAATCTTAAGAAAGATTCTCAGATGTGAAATATTTCTTACAGCATTGCATTTTATATTGTTTAGAAACAAGATCAGTTGAAGATAAATTATTTATTTTATTAGATTTATACCCCGCCCATCTAGACAGATAGTCTACTCTGGGCGGCATAACAAGATTTAAAAACAATAAAACCAATAACATGCGAAAATCCAAGATGTAAAAATATAGATAGTTTATTTGGGGGAAATGTGTGCAGGATATGTTACAAAACATACTTTCAATCATGCCTTGTTTTCAGATGGCAGCTGGTTGCATTTGGAAGGCAGTTACCAATAAAATAACGTTCTTGATTTTATGGGGCATTTGATAATACTCAGTTGGTAATAACTTTGCATTGGTGAGTTGTGTGATATCCCTGCGTTATACGTCCCTGTAGTAATCACTGTTGCTTTTAATTTAGTGTGAAATGTTTAGGCACTACACAGGGGTACTTCTTATTGGTATCTAGAGATATGAAATATGAACTGTGGCACAACAGGTGCTGCAGTGCTCCAGTTCCCACCCCCAGAACTGGCTTGTTGGGCTCCATGCAGTGCCAGGATCCTCCTTTGGCAGAGGCATGCCAATCCCAGCAGGAGCTTGGCTGGCCCTTCCCCACTTCCCTGCACAGCCAACCACTCATTGGCGGAGCAGGGAGATTCCCCATCATGCCTCCACTGAAGTGGTCAGCTGTGTAGGGAGGTGGTGAAAGGCTGTCCTGGCTCCTGCCAGGATTGGCACGACTTTGCCAAAGGAGGATTCCAGCACCGCACGGAGCCTGCTGAGTGGGCTGGCCGGTTCTGGGGGTGGGAATTGGACTACAGCAGCACCTGTGGTACCATGGTTTGTATTTCATATCCCTAGATACCAGTATTAAGTGCCCATAACTAATAGGCACACACAGTATTAAATTATCATCAACACTGTCACTGATTGAATTCCTGTTATGTTTCACAGAATGTAAAGTTACGTTTGTAGAGGCTCACATAGAGGCCCAGAACTTCAGCACTAGATGCCTAATTGCTTAATTGATTGTGTAACTGGCTGAGCAGAGTATCTGCGGAACTGCTTGATGGCTACAGCTACCACTTTGTTGTGAATTTCTCAATGCTTGACTGTACACAAAATTTTTGCCATTATTAAATTGCCATAGCAGTAACGTTCAGGTAGCAGTCTTTAGAGGGTACATTTCTTATTTGTCAAGTGAAAGGTTGGACACCCCTGCTTTAGAGGGTACATTTCTTATTTGTCAATGCAACAACCCAAGAGGTAGCTTATAAAGATGCAGCTTATTAATAAAGTATATTAACTATGTCACTCTTGTTTAAATATTAATTTAGACTATATTTGAGCCACTTCTCCAGTCAATGAACTCTTTAGGTGCTACAGTGAAGGAATAAAACCAATTAAAACATAATAAAACTCATAATAAAACTTAATAATTAAGAAGAGTAGTGTTGTTCTTTCAGTTGTCTGACAAAGAATTTAACATGACCTCTCTGAGGATGGAGCTCCGCAGAGAGATTGATACTACAGAAAAGTGCATTTTATGTTAAGAGAGAACATTTAGGGTTAGGAGATGGGACATACAGTAGGGGCTTAGATACTGAGCACACATTTCCTGTAGACTCCTAGAAGAGAAGACTTTCATTTGCCTTGGATGTTGGTTTTTATAAATCTAATGACTTCCAGACTGGTTTTACATGGTCTGTAAGATATTAAAGCATGCATTTCTGTGGCCAGGTCCACCTTTCTTAGAAAAGAGTATAACTCGTACGTCAGCTGAAGTTGGATTAGTGCTCTTTGTGACCACTGCCACTTAACATCCAGAAGCTGTGCTAGATTCAAGAGCATCCCCAGGTTGTGTAGAACAGATTGGACAGCATTTCCTGTGCACTTCCCGATAGGTATTGTTTCATAGTACAGTACTATCCACTGGAAAATATACAATGGTGCCTCGTATAGCGATGAAATCGCTTTGCGATGGACTTTTTGCCATCGCAAAAGTGATCACTTTGCGATGGTCCCTATGGGGAAATTTCGCTTTGCGATGATCGCAGGGAAGCGATCATCACAAAGCCTTCATTTTCGGCCAGCTGATCAGTGGTTTCAAAATGGCCGCCGGGTAAACAAAATGGCCGCCCACTGTGTTTCCTCGCTTAAGAGGCACCAAAAATGGCCGCCCCTATGGAGGATCTTCGCTTAAAGATGAGTTTGTAGCCCATAGGAATGCATTAATTGCTATAGGCTTTTCTTTTGCTTAGCGATGTTATCGCTTAGCAGTGTTTTTATCTGCACGGATTAACATCGCTACGCGAGGCACCACTGTATTTTTATTAGAATTCCTTTCTTTTCTAGTTAGAAGATAGAAACCCCACTCCCTCTTCCCCTTTGGATAATAAAGAATTTAAAATGTAATATATTTGCAGAAGTAGAGTTGTGAATTTCTTTAAATGTTCAGATTGTGCAAGCCACAATGCAGTTCATGCATCTCCCCACATGACTGGGTACTAATTGTGGTAAATATTAAACTGTTCATAATGGTAATACAGTGGTGCCCCGCATAGCGAGGTTAATCCGTTCCGGATTAACCTTCGCTATGTGAAATCTTCGCTAAGTGGGAAGTAAAAAGCCATTGGAACGCATTAAACTTCATTTAATGCGTTCCAAATCGGCCCGAAACTTCCCACTTAGAGAAGTTTCCTGGCCCCGGACAGGCATTTTCGCGCCCTTGGCAAGCGAGGGGAGGGCGCGAAAACGCTGTGCGGAGCTATAGGTTGCATTCTGGAAATTAATGAAGAAATATCTTGATTTGCTAAAATATAAAACCATCAATATTGAAATTATGCAGTTAGAAATTCAAATAATACATAGGCTAAAGTCCTCTTGTGTGCTTTAACAAAAGAGAAATGGTATAACCTGCAGCAGCAATTGGTTGCTAATTAACAAAGTCCTGTTTGAGTCCCTGGTTACGTACCAAGCCCCTGACTGGCATGCAATGAGAAGTCCAAGCAGGGACTCACTTATTAGCAACAGTTTGCAACTATGAGTTATATACAGTGGTGCCTCACTTAACGATGTTAATTGGTTCCATTAAAAAAATCATTATGTGAAAACATCGTTAAGTGAAACACCATTTCCCATAGGAATGCATTGAAAACCGGTTAATCCGTTCCAATTGGAACTGATTGCCGTCCTTAAGTGAAAATTGCCATAGGAAACATCGTTGAGTGAAACCCGGTTCACCAAATGAAATGCATTGAAGCCGACTCAATGCATTTCAATGGCTTTGCGAAGTCCTTTTTCGCTCCTGTAAAAGTGTCTTACAATGTTTGGAACCTGTTTTAAATGCTTGCAATCATTAGCCCACCTC